GGGGATCTAGAAGGACCCTGAGACATCATCTTCAATCTCCTGTCTGCGTTGTTGATGGGGACATGAAGGTAAGGGTTGGTAATCTACAAAGCACGTCTGGGGACTATTATGGGTTGAATTGTGTCCCCTCCAAAGATGTTGAAGTCCTAACCCCCAATGTCTATGAATGCGGCCTTACTAGGAAATAGGGCCTTTGCAGGTGGTCAAGTTAAAATAAGGTCATTAGGGTGGGCCCTCGTCCAATATGACTGTGTCTTTAGAAAAAGGAGAAATTTAGACACAGAGACAGTCACCCATGGAGGGAGAACTCTATATGAACATGAAGGCAGAGATTGGGGTGATACGTCTACAAATGAAGGACCACCAAAGGTTACTGGAAAACCACCAGAAACCAGGGGAGGGGCCTGGAACATATTCTCCCTCACCTCCCTCAGAAGGAACCAACTAGGCTGACATCTTGATCTTGGCCTTCTGGTCTCCAGAACTGTGAGACATAAATGTCTGTTATTTAAGTCATTCACTTTATGGTATTTTGTTATAGCAGCCCTAGCAAACTAATGCAGGGACCACGATTCTGAGCCCTCCTCCTATTCCCTTTCCTACAAATGTAAGAAAATTAAAACCCATTAAAATTAAAGTATGAGAAAACAAAGTCAGGCCAAGTAGTTTAATTAATTCATTAAGCAACGAGACTGTGAGGTTTCTTAAGAGAGGTGATGACTACTCCGTGTGTGGCTGAATTTCTGCTTGATGAGGTCCCTCCAGCCCATTTCTAAGATTTTCAAACCTGGAAGAATTCGTTGATTCTGGGAATTTTGATATTTTCTATGCTTGTTCACTCTTTTGGCTCTTCCCTATGGCCAGTGCCCTTGTCCAGGTCCAGGCCTTGGAGTTCGAGTTTTGGTTTATTCTCTGCTAGCTCCCTCTTCATTGTGGTGGGCTTTCCCTCGCTGCTGCCTGGGACGCCCTATTTCTGCATGTTCGTTTATTTGAATGCCTTTCACTGGCACCCAGCATACACCCTGCCAGCTGGAGGGACCCAGCATACACATTCTGGGAGAAGTGGGGCCCAGGGTTCTGAGTCTGGAGAGAAGAAGGAGGACTCAAGTCAGGGCTGGCCGGCCTTATCTGTACAAGGGTGTATGAGCGCCCAGCTCTCACAGCTGAATGGTTAGGTGAGCTTGTGTGAATGAGTGCTCATTGCTTGGACAGGGAAGGGCTTCATGACAGTGACTTTGTCATTGTAAGAGCTTTCCTCCAGGTGTCCACAGCTTCGGCCCGAGAATTGGGGCCCTTTATCATTTCTGAGTTAGCACCTGCCTCAGGTGCTCAGGCCTGTGTGCTACCTGCCTCTGAGATGGAGAGCCAGGGCTTGGCATCATAGCCCTTCACACAAAGGGAAAAGGTTTATGAATGAGAGGAGGTTTGTGGTGAGGTCTTAAGGCACAGATTTAAGAAGAAACTGGAGTTAAACATTTGGGTACTTAATGTGCAAAGACAGCCTGAGGTAGAGATTCTGCCTCTCATCCCCATTCCCTCAAAGCCATTTTGAGGAAGGACAAGGACAGGTGGTAGGATTGGGGCCCATCTGGAGAAATTGACTGCTCAGGCCCTGGGCCTGGGTAAAACCTGTTCTGCTCCAGGGATCAGCCTCCCCTCCTACCACGCCTCACACTCCAGACACACCCAGTTACTCCCTGTTCCCTGAACACATGAGCAATTTCCTTGCAGCCTGGAAGGCGCCTCCTAGGAATGTTCCTCTGATCCTTGAGGCTCAGCTGATCCTTTTCCCTGCTGCGGCCACTCCGATCACCATAAGGGGTTGTTCCAGAACTGCAGATAAGATTCCCTTAGGAGATCCTAAATTCCTTGAAAGCCCAAACTATGCTTCCTCTCAACAGCCTTTCTTCCTGAAGACTAGAACATACTAGGTGTTCAATACATTTTTATTATGTGAATGAAAATTTATCTAAATTGGTCAACTGTTTAATCCGTAGAAGTGAGCAAATGGTTAAGGTATCCAGTTTTCAATCTTTATGAAAATGCTTCATAAGTAAAGAGTTCTTTGTTCAGTAAGCAATTATTTCATGTGCTGATGGGATGACAGTCACTTGGCTGGAGCCAGAGTCTTGGAAGCATCTTTTCCCACTGCACACACCCAGGAGCTCTCCCTGCAGTGAGCTGTGCGCCCTCAGTCTAGCAGGATGCTGAGGGGCTTCTACGGCAAGTTTCCTGGATCCAATAATTACCTTCCGGCAATACCACTTTATAATGCCGAGTTCGGTTTTTCTGTAATATCAACTAAATTTAAAAAATAAAGGTCTAAAGAAAGGGTCTAAATCTCAGACAATCGATATTTGCTTACAGTAGTATGAAAACTCAGAGGCTATGTTTAGAGACCAAGTTCATGGATATCAACCG